AAAAAAAAAAAAAAAAAAGCTGGGCATTATGGGAGGCACCTGTAGCCCCAGCTACTTGGGAAACTAGGGAAAAGAATTTCTTGAGCCCAAGTGTTGGTGGTGACTGTGAGTTGTGATGCCATGGTACTCTACCCAGGGAGACAGCTTGAGAGTAAAATAAATAAGAAAAAGTTTTAATTCTAAATAGCATGTGTATGGGTGGAAGCACATGAATAATTACCCACAGATTCAGTGATGATCAGAGACTTTTATAGATGCCTTTCAGAAGGGAGGGGGAGAATGTGGAAAGTGTAGGTGCAGCAAGTGGTTGCTGGGGCGAGTGTGGGTAGATGGGTGGATACAGATTTATCTGTAGATTAACCTCAGAGACAGGTATCCTCCTTCAAATGACCTTGGGGCCAGAGCTATTAGCATGTAATAAGGAAGTCAGCAGCCCCTTTTGATTCCCAATTAAGTTACTCAGGTTTTATGTAGATATTAAAAAGGCCTCTTCCAATGCTTCCTGATCATGACTGGCCATTATTGGGTTTTTTTGTTGTTGTTTGTTTATTTTTATAGACAGAGTTTCACTTTATCACCCTTGTAGAGTGGCGGGCATCACAGCTCACAGCAACCTCCAACTCCTGGGCTTAGGTGATTCTCTTGCCTCATCCTTCCAAAGAGCTGGGACCACAGGCGCCAGCTACAACGCCTGGCTATTTTTTGGTTGTAGTTTGGCTGGGTCTGGGTTTGAACTTGCCACCCTTAGTATATGGGGCTGTGAATAACCTACTAGTTTTCATTCAAAATAGAACCAATGCAGTTCAACTTCTAGTCTTACAATCCTCTTATACCCCCCTTGATACCAGTGAAGACCCAGAGTTTGCCAAAAGCCCATGATTGGGCTCCTCTATGTTCAAAACAGAGGGGGGAATGTGGGAGCCAAACTAATTAACTCAAGTCACAAGTCAAACTACCTCCTTTTGTTGTTTATTCAGAATAACAGGCTGCCACATACCAAGGACCTTATCATACCTAGGTGTTAAAACCCACATCCTGACCCCCTCCTGCTTTGTCCCACTAGCCCCCTTGTGCACTCAGCCCACATCCTGACCCCCTCCCTTTTTTGCACTCTACTCTGCACTCGCCCCACTTGCGACCTTTATCCCTTCCTTCTTATTCGCTCACCTGAGACAAAGAAGACTCATCCCTGAGCCAATCAACCCTGAACACGACCACCCTGTTCCTGTCAGTTTAGGACAGACATGGTTTACCTACCAATAAGGGGATGGGGTGGGATGGTCTAATGGGAGGGAAGAGGGAGAGGTATAAAGGGACTTTCTGGATAGTCTGTAAGGGCTGTTCCCGCTTTTTCTTAAAGGGCAGCCCAGGCTCTGAGCTTGAATGAATAAAATTCCTCGTGCCTTTGCAGCGATGTTCAGACTCTCAGAGTGGTGCTTGAATTGAGTCTGGGGGTTAACATGGCCAGCGCCCTACCCACTGAGCCACAGGCACCACCCCTTGATTGATCTGAAATTGAAAATATTCTTTATACCAAGTGATAGGCCTAAGTGGGCCTAGGCTAAAGCAGATAAGTGTCAGGCCTAGGCTATAATGAAAAAATACCAGTTAGCTACTGGCAAATTTCCAGACTGCAAGTTTTCAAAAAGGAAATGAAGTAAGTCTTAATTCACCCCCAAGATAAATGAGAGAGTATTAATTGTTTTCTTACTTCTAGTTCACTCCCAGTTCTTTGCTTGGCTAACTCCCTGGGAAACGAACCAACTGTCCTCAGACCGACCTTTAAACAATACCAGATGGAGAAAATACTGAGACAAAGTATGAAACTAATATGTGTACGAGGTGTATGACATATAACTAAGACATATAACTAACCCCCAAATTCTGCTTCTGTACAACTCTTGCTTGCTATCCTCCCCGGATGCGCCTTAAAAACCCAACCCCTTAGGGGCAGTGCCTGTGGCTCAAAAGAGTAGGGCACTAGCTTCATATGCCAGAGGTGGCGGGTTCAAACCCAGCCCCGGCCAAAAACTGCAAAAAAAATAACCCAACCACTTAAACACTTGGGGTTGCTCTAAGAAACACCATGTTGGGACATTGAGGTAATCGCCAAGTGGCTTTTCAATAAAGGGACCCTGGTACGAATTCAACTTGTTTGGCAGTGCGGTCTTTGTGGAATTCCTGGGCACAACACAAAAAGTCACATTTTGGGGTGAAATTTCCTTAGCTCCTTCATTTCCCTGAACTGGAATTTCCCTAGAAGTTTCACCCGTTAAGAGCTGATTTGGCTCCTGCTTCAGCTTCCCAAAGCCAGGGTTTCACTATGTTGCCCAGGCTGGAATGCAGGCACCATCCCACTACTGATCAGCATGGGAGTTTTGACCTGCTCCATTTCCTACCTGGGCTGGTTCACCCCTCCGGCAAGCTGGTGGCACCCCCACTCCCAAGAGGTCACCATATTGATGCCGAACTTAGTGTGGACACCCAATCAGCATAGTGCACTACAGCTCAGAACTCCTGGACTCAAGTGATCTCCTATATCAGCCTCCCAAGTTGATGGGACTACAGGCTGGCTGTTCTGTAGAGAGCGGAGAGTGAGGAAGTAAAACTGAGGGCAGGGTGCCCTTTAGGGGAGGATGATGATGCCTGGAATTCAAAAGCGGAAACGGGGTTGAAGATAAACGAAGTGTTGGGATTCTGCAGAAGAGAGAAGAACTCCAAAATCAATTCAGCAAGCAAAGGAGCAGGGGGGGAGATGGCAAATGTATGATTGCTTTTATTGTTTCTCTGTCACAGTTGTATGTGTTTTGCAAGGAAGAGAAATGTGTGTGCTCCAGCTTTGAGACAAATGAGTAGAAGAGGGGAACACAGGAAAAGAGGTTTTGAGGAAAACATGAGATCATGTGACTATTTTGAATCTAAGCTGTCTTTTAGATAGTCTAGAGAAGCTGCCCTCAAGAATAGCTGGCTAGGGGCAGCGCCCGTGGCTCAAGGAGTAGGGTGCCGGCCCCATACGCCGAGGGTGGCAGGTTCAAACCCAGCCCCAGCCAAAAAACTGCAAAAAA